AGGCAATAGGAGAAGTAAGTGTTAGAGGGCAGGACAGATGGTGAGGTGGGGCAGGACAGACAATGAGGTAGGGAAGGGCAAGGGTTTGGCAAGAGAGGCATTGTGGAAGCAAGTGGCTGGGTGGGAAAAGTGAGGGGGGAGGGGTCAAGGCATCTCTTTCCCTGCTACAGTGGCCGGAGGGAAGTATTTAAAGAATGTTCTATGTATAGGATATAATTATTGGAAGGTTGTCTTAAATTTGAAGTCATCATGGTATGTAAGGAAACTATACCTAGTGCAGCTGCAGCCTGCCCTTTTAAATGTTATTTATATTACAGTAGCACCTAGAGGCCTCAGACAAAGTTGGTGCCCTCCTTGTGCTGTATGCTGTAAAAATTACCTGGCAGAATCTTAAAAAACAGGGTTGGTAGATACCTCAAAGAGGACATCTGGTGCAATCCCCCCTCTATAGCATCCCATGCAAACGTTGTTTTCTACCCTGCACTTACACTAACAACAAATAGCCCTGCCCAAAAGAGCTCTCATCTAAACAGACACCTCAGAGGAATACTCACATAACCAATATCACACAGCAGGTCCTAGCAGAAACAGAAAGAGACCACATGCCACATGCAAACCAGCTGCCCATTCTCCAGCCCACACTGGTTCTCCTAATGCCCCCCCCCCCCTTTTACTGGAAGTTGTTCATTCACTAATTTACAAATGATAGCAACCTACAGTGGGTTCCCTCATAAGGGATTTTGGTTAGCTCAGTTCTACTGTGTATATGGATGGTGTAAATTTGTATTGTGCATGTGGTTAAGGAAGCTCATAATCTAGCCCTTCATATTCAGCTTTTTCTTGTGTGAGAAAATGCATGTGGTCATCTTTCAACAACAATATTCATTCTGATTCTGGCATCCTTCTCTTATGCCATTAACATTAAAATGCCAAACTATTTTTTTTATTATTTTACAATATATACTATATCATTTATTTTCATTTATTTTGCAGATATCACATACGTTATCATAGGAGTTACTCTTGGAGCCATTTTAGCTGTTGGTTTTATAGCATTAAAGATCTGTATGATCAAAAGACAATTGATTGACAATATCCTTGGAGGTAAGAGAAACATACTTTTGTTTTTTGACCCACAGGGAAATTCTTCTGACATTTCAACATGGTAGACCTGAGCAACATTTATGTATAGGAAGAACTGAATAAAAGCTTAGATCTCCAAGAAAAAACAGTAAATTTTGTCCTGAAAACAATACGAAAAGGGGTCTGAATTTCAATTCCTTGAGTCCACTTATAAATTCTAGTATGATCAACTCAGTTCTGTAGGCCTACAAGGAAGATAAATTCAGTTCCATGCAGTTTTGTCTTCAGAATTATTAATTTTTTAAGAAAAAGTATGATAGGACTTTAGATGTGACTAAAGAGTGCTTAGTTATAATTTCGATCCTAGCATCCTAGCCACAATTTCCATTTTTCACACTGTTCTGATTCTGGCCTTTCCACTCAGATATGCTTGTCTGACTTCTGTATACAGAGCTTGATAGAACATCTATTCAGGTATATGGACAAATTCCCATTGACTTCCAATGGTAGCTGGAAGAGGCAGATGGCTTGTAAGGTGCTGTTGGGTTCTCTAGAATGCTATTTGCTGTCGGAAAGTGTTCTTTTGTTAGAAGCATTATTTCAGGCTGGGAAGCTCTGTAATCTAACTTCACAGTTGCTTATTGTAACACTTCCTTTTGCTTTGGCATGGATTCACAGCCCAGAGTTTTGGATTTAAATTCAAAATCTTAAATTAATACTTAGTTGAAAATGCTGTTTTTTAAAATCCAAATATACATCAATGTAATGGAGAACATAATTTTGCTTCTTCACTATACTAGGGGCAGGTTGTAACTCAGTGGATGCGTCTACACATTCATTAATGTGCAGTAGCTACTGCATATTTTAGTTTAATACTTTCTTAATGAAGTACTAATTAAATGTGCAGTAACTACAGTTACTGTGCAGTAGCTCTGGTGCATGGTTTTTTTAGTGATGCTTACTGTGCAGTAGCCTAATACTACTGCACAGTAGCATATTAGCACAGTTTTTGCCCAGCATGCTACTGTGCAGTGTTATAGGCTACTGCGCAGTGTTATAGGCTACTGCGCATTAAACATCTCATGTAGATGTGCTCATTGATTTCATTTGGTGCTGAATGTGGCCCACAGAGTTCCTCTTACTCAGAAAAATTCTAAAACACTAACAAATTAAGAGGCAGAATCAATACTGGGACAATTTCTCCCAACTGAAATGCAGTTGAAGTTGCCTTCAATGTGGTTGAACATAGTAAGAGTGCCCAGCAATACTTCACAGTAATTCAGGACAAAAAATAAAGCAGCATACTAAATGCAGCCAAAAAAACAGGCAAATGTGAGGAAGCAAGAAATACCCAGATTGAAGAGTAGTTCAGCTTTCATTTACCACTGGGTAAGTTTAGACACACAGACAGTTATTGTGGAACAGCTGAAGTGCATTAAGTTCTTTTCCTCTGTTAAGTCACTGTAATCTGTGCATTCATCCATGTTCTTATAGGAAAATCATATAACCTACTGAATCACTAGAACCCCACCACCCAGGGTGCCTATAGATGTGTAGCAAGGCTGCTCCAACACTGTAATTACAGTGCATTGGAGCAGACTCGTTTAATCAAGTCTGCTGATCGAGTCTGCTGGAACATGGTAATCAATTAATTGAGTCTACTGGAGCATGGTAATTACTGCACTCCAGACAACTGCAGCATCATGTGTATCAGTGCCCCCATGCTGAAAAATGGTGGCGGGGACCCCCACCCCCATTTTTCAGCTTGGGGATGCTGATACATGTGATGCTCTGGGCACTTTAGCTAGAGCAACTCGCAGAGCTGCTTTAGTTAGAGCACCGCCCCACTCCCCAATGCCCAGAGCATGTGTATAAGTGCCCCAAGTGTCCTGGGTTTTTCTTGGATGCCTCTTATTGAAGCAATATTGACCTGGACCCATGCTAACAGCCCAGACTGGCACTCCTCACAATTTAGGGAATTCTTCTTGGAAATCCCCTTCTCAATCTGGTAGTCTGAATTCTTTGTTACCATAAATTACAGAATATTGAGTTTTAATATCTGTCCCAAGTCACTCACCCCAAAAAGAGTCATCTTGAATAGCATGATAGTACAAATTGGAGCCATGACAGAATTCCATATAATATGATAATGGAAAAAAAACTAATGAAAGGAAAGCATTCCCACTGAGGAAAATGGAATTACTGTAAATGAGAACAGATTTGCTACCTAAGCAGTTACTCTCTGTAATGATATTTCTGTGATGAATTTCTCATGGAGATATGCATGGCTAATTACATGTAAAGGGCCATTTTTCAGTCATGAAAGAAACGGTATGGATCTAATGGTGGTCTGGTCAACCTGTGACACACATACCACAACTGTTATGAACAGCTTGTGTGTGTAGCATGCATCAAATCAGGAAGGGGGCAGACAGCACAACAGATAGGGCAGGTAGCGGAAAGCACAGCAGCAGTTCAGGCATGGGGCACAGAACAAGGAGCAGAATCAGGCAGGAGAGGCAGATTGAAGTGGTACTCAGGAGGGGTTCATGGCTTAATTTGTAGCATGTCTGACAAACAGTTTAGGCTAGATCAGTGATACCCATCTCTTAAGTGGAAAAAAAATTTATAAGGTGGCTAGTTGTGCCTTTATGGCATCCATTCATCAGCAAGTGATGGTGGATATTGCAGCTATTCTACTGACTGGTGGAACATTTTCTCTTGTGGCTGTAAAGATTGATGTTAGACTTGCAGGTCCTGCCACAATGGTTACAGGTGTGCATAGTGTTAGGGGTTACTGTACTGACAAGCTGTTTCCTTTGGTCATGTTTCTGTTGTAATTTGAGTGACCATTTCTTATTGTGATGTTGGACTCCATGATTGAGAAGAGAGTGCTACTTTGTCCTGTCTCCTGCTAAGGCCTTTCAAAGGTTTGGGTTGATTCCAAAAGCCTTCATATCCTGCTTGCAGAAATCTTTGAAGTGCAACTTTGGCCACCCTAGTCTTCTCTCCCTGCCTGCAATTTTCCCATAGAGGATGTCCTTTGGGATATGCCAATCTTCCATCCTGCAAATATGGCCAAGCCAGCATACGTGCCGCTGTTTGAGTAGTGCAGTGATGGTTGGCTTTGGCAATGACCTCTGTGTTGGTGATTCTGTCTTGCCACTTGATGCCAAGGATGCACTGTGAACAGCATAGGTGGAAGCTGGTCAGCTTCTTTTCTTGATATGCACATGTTGACCATGTCTTACTACTACTGTGCATAAGGACACTGAGGACACAGGCTTTGTACACAAGCAGCTTAGTTTTGATTGTGAGTATAGTATTGTTCCAGACTCATTTGGAGAGCTTACTGAAAGTGGTAGCTGCCTTTTCAATGTGTACATTTAGCTCTTCATCCAGTGATAGGTTGTCACTCACTGTGGATCCAAGGTAGTACAACTTGTTCACTGCCTTGAGAGGTGTGTTGTCAAAGCTGATAGATGGTGACCAGTGAACACCCTGTCCTAGGACCACAATCTCCTTGATTCTGATGGTCAGGGCGAGCATCCTGCAAGCATGGGAGAGATGATTCATGAGTATTTGTAGTTGGCCTTCTTCGTGGGTGGTGAATGCAGCAAAAAAGTGCCACAAATCCAGATATTATACAAGGAAAATTTTGTGAAAGAGCTCTGAACAAAATGAATGTTTAAGTCACAAGGGCTAGGTAAGAGTCATCCTAGAATACTCAGTGAAATGACTGGCATAATTTCAGAGCCATTGGCTGTTATTTTTGAGAACTTAGGAAAGTCAGCTAAGGTCCCAGAAAACTGGCAAAGGGCAAATATAGTGCCATATTTAAAAGAGAACAAAGAAAACCCAAGGCTAGTCATTCTAACTTTGATATCTGGAAAGATACTAGACCACAGGGCTGCCAATCTAAGACTTTGTTACTGACAATCTGCATATTTTTTTATGGACAACAACACTTTTTTACTGACATGTTTTACATGATGTAAATGTAACCCTTTTGCTAGGCCCTGGATAGCAGTACCATGGGCCAAGTTCAAATTTAGGGATTTAAAGTGCTCTTTCTAAATTCGGCTTGTGCCCTAACCCAGAAACCTGGTAAAATTAATTTTAATTTTCCCCACCTCTCTGTCCTGCCTGGTGCCTCATATTGCCCAGGTGCCATGTGATCCTGCTACCTTCAAGGTGAGAAGCCATTTGTTACAGGAAGACAATAAGTGATGGAATGCAAATGGCTGGGGAGGGGAGGAGGATACAGAGCCTGCTATAGGCTATAAAACCCTGAACCCTGCAGGGTGCCATGCTGCACTCCTGCTCAAACACAAGGTGGCACTCTTGTCTGCTCTGTCTGTCCATCAACACCTGCACCCAGCTTCATTCCAATGATGGGTCTTCACTCAAACTCATGGTTTCTTAGTAGTATACAAACAGGGCATTTTTTTAATGAACTTTAGGGATAAGCATTTTTAGCCTTTTTTTTTTTTGCAGACTGTAAACTTACAGACAGTTCACAACCCTGCTAGAGCATGTAATTACAGAATCTATTTCTAAGCACCTTGAGGACAGCAATATGGACTTGCCAAGATCTCTTGAGTGTATTTTTACAACCCTTGAGTGTATTTTACAACCTGCAGCAGCAGGACACTGACCACCCTTGTCCCTTTGCTTTACCTGTGGCAGGTTAGAGTGCAGTGCCTTGTAGTTACACTTATGAGAGGACAACTAAATGCACAGATACAAACTGGGGAATTACTGGCTGGGATGCAGTATTGCAAACAAGGACTAGGGCCTTATAGCAAACAGCAAGTTGAATATGAATCAACTCTAGATGTAAAAAAATTAATTTAACAGGAGTGACAAGTCTAGGGAAATTATTCTTCCTCTCTGTTCAGTAATGGTGAGGCTTCCCCTGGAATACTGTATCCATGTTTCAAGAAAGATTTTATGATTGTAACTCAGAAAGAGAAATGGATAATATATGCTTGGCCCTCCATTGTTTGTGTCTGACAACATTTGCTTCTATGGTTAGAATGCTGATAATCACATTCAGTAAAGAAACAATATTTTACCTTTGTGGTAGTCATCTAATCCTATAAGGGCAATAGTGCCAGAACACAAGCAGCTTCAGTACCAGTCCCACTTTTGGTTCAGTAGCTTCCCCTTCAGCATGACAACCTGAAACCGAAAGGCCAAGTCCTATGGGAGTTCTCTCAGACCTTCCTCCTAAGGGAGCGAACTTGATTCTATGGTAATTAGCGTCAATGGGTACATCCAAACCAAGCGCGTATGTCCCTCTTGCCCTGTCTCAAACCCCTTTAAGGCAGGGCAAGAGGCATGTGCGGAAATGAAAAAATGTTTCCCGCACTGCAAGTTTGCAGCACAGGGAGAAAATTGGACACCTGGATATCCAGGGATCAAAAAAACTGCTCCTCAGAACAGCGGAGCAAGGCATGGTCCCTGACCGTGCCCGGAGCCAGCAGGGAGTCAGTCCTCCAAAAGAGACCCTCTGGTTTCAGCCAGAGCATCTCTTTAGTGCTCCTGCTGCCCCCAGCCCCTGGCTCTGTCCAAGGTGAGTGTGGGGGGGAGTTCATGGGTGTGGGTGGGTGAGTGGTGGCAGGGGATGTGGGGAGCGGGTTGGGGAGTGGCAGTGGGGATATCCCCAGGGCTGCAGAGGGTGAGGACCTGGCTCAGATCAGTATGACTTGTTAGTCCAGCTTTGCACCGGAGTGGGTCACACAGCTCCGGGAGGCACGCGCAGGAGCCATGCCTCCCAGAGCCCTATGACCCACTCTGGTGCAAAGCCAGACTAGACAGCCACATGGGGCTGGGCCAGGTCCCACCGTGTGCCACCTCCCCGTAGGGACAGCAGGGCAGAGGCGGGACCCAGCACAGCATGCAGGGACTACGTGCTGGGTCCTGCTGGTCCTGGGGCCTCTCTGCCACCCGCTCAGGCTGGTCCCCAAGCAGCAGAACCCAGCACAGTACATGGGGACCATGTGCCGGGCCCAGCCAGGTCCTGCCAGCCCTGGGGATCCTCTGCTGCCCAGCCAGGCCAGACACTTGACAGCAAGATCCGGCACGGCATGTGGGGACTGTGCGCCAGGCCCAGTCAGGTCCTGCCAGCCCTGTGGCTGCTCATGCTACCCAGCTGGGCCCGTCCTGAGGCACATAGTCCTGTGCACCATAGGACCAGCCTGCCCGGGAAGCATGAGCAACCCCAGGGCTGACAGGACCTGGCTGGGCCTGGCACATGGTCCCTAAGAGCTGGGAGTTGGCAGCAGCAGGCTCAGAGTGCCCCACTCCTGCTGCTGCTGTGAAAAGTAAGTTATGGGCCTTGGTTGGGGGGGGCTGAGGCCCTCCAGGGGGCAGCTGGGATGCTGGGCATGGGGGCTGGTGCCCTGTGGGGGTGGAGGCATTTCATGTGCTGTGTGGGAGGGCTGCACCCTGTGGGAGCCAGGGGACTCACCCCTCCTGAGCAGCCCCT